CCAGTTCGCCACCAACTGACCTCGTTGGCGTTAGTTAGCATTCGCCAAGGGAAAAAGGAGTCTCTTCGAACGTTCATGAGCCGATTCAACAAAGCGACTCTCGAAATCCGAGACCTGAACCCTGTTGTAGCTCTACATCATCTCACAACTGCCCTAAAACCTGGTCCCTTTGCCAACAGCATCTACAAAAAACCGCCGACCGATATGGATGACTTGCGGCGACGAGCCGATAAATACATGCAAATGGAGGAACTAGCAGAGTTCCGCGATCAAGCCAGAACAGAAACCACAGCTAGGCCTGAAAAGCCGACTGAAAAATAATTTTCGGAGCCGTCCGAAAGAATTAGCACCCCGTGAGAGGCCCCCTCGTGGCCCAAGGTATTCACAATACACACCGCTCAATACGAGTCGGTTGGCAGTGCTAGAGCAAGCATTGGCCTCGGAGGTACTGTCCGTCCCGAAATGAGCTTCGACCCCTCCTAGGGCCGATACAACGAAATCTTGCAGGTATCACCGCAATTGAGGGCATTCAACGAAGGAATGCGCGGCCTTGAAGGATAAAATTGAAGATCTAATCAAGCAAGGACAGCTGCAGGGTTTTATTAACCGCCCGCACTCATCCCGGAACACCCATCGGTCGCGACAGGACGATCAGGCCGAACAAAGAAGGACAGAAAGTCGCTCATATCGAGAACGCAGTCGGTCTAGAGAAAGGCGAGAGGAGCCTTCAGCGCAGCCTCGACGAGTCATCAACAACATCGCTGGCGGTTTTGCCGGCGGTGGTTCGTCTTCATCGGCGCAGCGTAGACACCTTCGGGCCGTTCGTCACGTGCAAGCCGTCGAAACTGTTCGTCGCCGTTTACCCACCATAAATTTCACCGAGGCCGACTTCAAAGGTATCGACCCATACCAGGATGTTCCCATGGTAATTAGTGTGGAAATTCACAACTGCATTGTGCGCAAGACATTGGTGGATCAGGGAAGCTCAGCCAATATCCTTTATTGGAACACGTTCAAACAATTGGGCATCCCGGAGGCCGAACTGATTCCCTACGATGAACCCTTGGTAGGATTTTTAGGAGAAAGAGTCAAAACAAAAGGGTATATCAAGTTGTCAACCCGCCATTTCCCATTCGGCTTCTTTACCATGACTACATTGGCTAACCAGGTTGTATAATGCACCTCTCGGATGAACCGAGCATCTAACAGCTTGCCAACCTCCGCCTCAATTATCGCCTTCCTTTCCTCTCCGGCCTTCCGACGCCTTTGGGCAATCGGCCTTGCCTCCTTGCTTACTGATAGCTTGTGGCAAAGAAAGTTGGGGTCAATGCCGGGCATATCAGACGAGCACCAAGCGAATAAGTCATTGTTTTCAAGGACCACTTGCTTGAGGGCCAGGCGCTCTTGTTCGGATAAATTGGTCCCCAGGTAGGTGACTTGGGCTTCGGCCGAAAGTTTTTCCTTTCGGTGCAGCTGTACCCAACATTATATTGTTAAACATAATTACTCTTTGTTATATTGTAAAAAAAATAAAAACTCTTTGCTAAATTATCGCCAAATATGAAACTGTTGTTATATCTTTTAATGCTCAAGTACGTTATATATGAATATTTTTTTTATAGAGAGTTCACGGAATATTCTAAAGTTTTTTTTAATAATGATTTTTTTGGGACAATTATTAAAATTTTTAATTTTTTTTATTGTAAAAAGTAAGTTGTTGTATCTGCAGATTTGAAACTAATGGTTATTTTCTAACAATATTTTCTCCAAAAGTTGATTTATTACATTGAAAATTGATTCTTTGTTTGTATTTAAATCAAATTAAATATCTTAATATCATTTTTCAACAAACTTATTCAAATAAAAGTTTATTCCAATTATAATTGATTATAGTAATAAATAATTATTAAAATAATTTAATTTTCACAATTTTTTCAAATACATCCTACTGTTTTTTTTTACTCCAAAATACATCCTACAGTTAAAAATCATTAATTTAATAATAAAATAAATTGTATGGTTCAGATCAATTCTTAAAATTCTTTTAAAATATATAAAATTAATCCTACTCAAACTAAAAGACGTGTTTTATATTTTTTTTAGTCCTTGTTCAAAGATTGGCACCCTTTTCTACAAGTCAGAGATGGGCCCTTTGCCCTTCTTTCTCTGTTTTTATTTTCCCCATCTTTTTTCTTTTATGAACCCTAAACATTGAATCTTGACTTCTTTCTTTTTTAGCTTCTTTCTTTGTACACTAGTCCTCAGTGGATACAATGTTCATAATGGTCCATGCCAACCTATTCTTTTGCGAATCTCAACATTTTAAGTACAATTTTTTTTTTAATTTTTTACTATAATATTAATTCAATATTTATTATAAAAATTAGTGACTATTTAAAAACTACAAATACACACAAAGTAAATATCTCAACATAACTTATTTTTTTTATTCAATATCAAATTTCAAATTATAAACAACTTAATTAAAAAATATAAATAAATAATCACTTGTGTTAATTAATATTAATATAAATACAATGACCAAATGTGATCATAATTATCCTTTAATTTTGTAATTATAGATGATGATAAAAATTTGATCAATTATAAATTTATCACATATTATTTTCTAGTGATTATATATTTACATTTTGTCCCTTAACGTATATTACAAGAAAAAGGGTCATTAGGAACAAATTTTTTACAATAATAAATGAGTTGTTGGTATAAATAGATATTTGACATTTGACAACAATATTTAAATTTTTTACAATAAGATTTTCTTTTTGTCAACTAAATCAATATTATTGTGAGAATTATGTGTCATTGGAAAATGTATTATTTTATGTCAACAATATTAATTGGAAAAAGGTATTTTCCTATGTCAACACATTTATTATCACTGAGAAAAGTACTCTCTTGTGCCAATGGTGTTGACATTGCTAGGAAAAAGTGATTTTGTTATGGTAGCATGTTTGAAGCCGCTGAAAAAAGGTATTTTTTTTTTTCTATATCAACACATTTGTTATTATTGGGAAAATACTCTCTCATGTGATTTGAAATAAGATAAAAAATAACTCTTATATATTAAACACAAACAACTATCATATATATGAGAGGATTTGTATAGATTATTTTTATCTAATTCAGTTTTTTATTTATGTATTAAATTTTAATAATTTTCAAATAAATTATCAAGAATTAAAAATAATTTTTTGTCACAATATAGTTATTTATCTTAAATCTAAAATATAATTTTAAATGTTTAAAAATATCTATTTGTTCAAATTTTAAAATGTGATTTATATATATAGTATTTATTTGTATATATAATTTATTATAAATTTTAGTTATATATAATAAATATCAAATTCTATATATTAAACATGAATCTCTATTTAACATGAGAGGATTTTTAAGAGTTTTTCTTTTTCAAGAGGGTTTTTTAGGGAATACCGTGTTTTTATTGTTATTAATTTGATATGAGTGATAAGGAGAAGCAACAATCATACACAAAATCTCCCTCAATGCAAAGAAAGTGCACGGAAGTTTTTTACTTCTTCTTAAAATTAAATATTCTCAACATAAAATATATAACAAGATGTTTTACGAGTTGTGTGTAAGGATGACAAATAAACTCGTACTCATAAGTAATGTTTCGTCATGATTTTAATAGAAAATACTTGATTTGATCGGACACAAACATAAGTATGGTTAATATTCGATATATTAAACCGAACATGAGGGCAAGGATGGGTATATACTTACTCGTATTCGTATCCATCCTCGCTTTAAATTACTAGAATTTAATTTATTTATTTTTTAGAATTTATTTTGAAATTATGTAATTTTAATCTATTTTAAATGTATGTTAGATGAAACATAATTTTGTAAATTTATAATTGTTGTTTCATGTTATTTTTTTTTTATATTTTACATAAAATAATATTTAATTAATTTATGGAGGATACGGATGTACTTAATACCTAGAAGAGATGGAGAGATACAAATTTCATATTGTTTGATATGAAAACAAAATAAATATAAAAAATAAACTCAAAAACAAGGATAAAGATATTGAAACTTGCACATATCTCACTCTATTATCATCTCTGGCCATGTGGCCATTTCGAAACAAGTAGAAGTGTTTGCTAAAATAAAATTATATAAGCATTTGCGAGTACAATAATTATATAATATACTACCTAAAGTGACACACAACAACAAAAGAGGTCCCGTAGCTCAGTTGGTTAGAGCGTTGGTCTTATGAGCCGAAGGTCGCGGGTTCGAGCCCCGCCGGGACCACCTACTGCATAGGTTTTTGCGAATTCTTCAAAAAATCATGAAAATCAAACTATTATTATTAAGAGAAAAATCATGGCTGATCAGCGGCATAAATTTGTTAAATCTTATGTAAATATTTTCTCAAATAATAATCCCTAATTTTTATTAACATTTACAATTATTTTTAATATCATATATTTTAGTTCTGATCTGAAATATTATATATTTTAAGAGTTCGTTTATTTCTCACTAAATTGTGTGATTTTTGTATTTAAATATTTTTTTCTAAAACAATATTAGTGGAATTTAAAATCGGTTATTTTTTATTTTTAAAATCAGTTCGATCAAAAGAGACGATTTTAAAAAGTGGGACTTTTAACATCGGTCGCTGACCGATGTTAAAAATGAGACTTTTAAAATCGATCAACAGTGACCGATGTTAAAAGTGGAACTTTTAAAATTGATCATGACATGACCGATGTTAAAAGTGATTAATTTTTTTTTTAATATTTAACTTATTTTAGGAGGATCCCTGAACAAAACCTGTAAATTAATAAAATATCAGACAATTCATATGTTTTTAATATATCAAATTACATACAAATGATAAGAGTCGGTAAATATCAAACATATATATAATTAAAATAACTTACAAATTATTATCCTATACTACAAATTGAGTAAATGATTCGCATTGAATGTTTGCATCCTAGATTGATTGGCCCAGTATGATTTAGCAATATTTAGGTCTTAGAATAACATTCTTTACAAAATATTGACCCAAAAAAAAATCATTAATCAGAAAATAACAAGTGAAAGAAAAAACAGATCATCCTACTAGTATAGGTAATTAAAATTCTCACAACAATGTTTAGACAACAATCTTTGCTAAATGACAGCAACCATTTTTAATTTTTCATCAACTTATGTAGTATTTAGAGATTTCTATTTGAAGACAATGCTACATTTAAGATAAAACATGAGAGCACAATCTTCAAGTTATATCTGACAAAGAATTAATCTTCAGAGTTGGGATATTTTAATTAAAAATTCATTTTTGTCATGTAGGCTTAGGTTACTACTCATCAAATTATACTGAAAACAATGGACTAAAGGAAACTCACCTCAGAGCATGTCTGTACTGGGCCTCTATCGCAACCATGTTTCTTAAGAGGCAGCGGATTCAATGAAATAACCTGCTTAGACTGAGCTGCACTTGAAAATGATTTTCTGTGTGTTGCAGAAGTTGAACCAATACTACTACGCTTTGGCGACGAATGTGAGGAATTGGCCTCATTGCAGATACTTTTAATCTCTGCCTAGCAGGAGGCAATGGTGTGCTACTCCCATTTACCACTCTGGAACGGGTCATTCCTAAACTGGAACAGGCCGTTCCGGAATCCAAAATATACCTAAAACTTTAGTCTGGAACGGTCCTAGAACGGCCCGTTCTGCAAGTAGAGAACGGGCCGTTCCAGTTTCAAAAGTCGCCCAGCAACAACGAAATAACATACATGAGAAGAGAATGTTACCTTCCATGAAGAATATATTAAGCTGGACACTTTAGATGAGAGATGAGAGCCAAACGGAGTAAAGAGAAAAATATATTCGTAGACTTAATCTAGAAAATATATGGAGGCAAAGATGAGAGAATGGAGGGGAAGGGATAGAATGACCGTAGAGTGCAGATTAAACTCTGATATTACTTTTAAAACCGACTCTTCAATAGCCGATTTTAAAAGTGCTACTTTTAAAATCGGTCATAAAGTAACCGATTTTAAAAATAATGCCATTATTTACAAAATTGTCACCGCATCACTTTTAAAATCGACTACTTCATGACCGATTTTAAAATATTCACTATTAATAATAATAAAAAAATATTATTTCCTTTAGTTTATTTTTGTTTATAAGAAATTTATTCAAATTTAAAAATGCACGTACAATGAAAATCTTACTATTAAATATGTACAGGGATATCTACTAAATATGAAAAAAGGAAAATTCAATTATTTTTATAAATATATACTTAGAACAATAATTTTTAGTAGTTGCTTTGAATATTGTTCTTGTTTTTCAGTAACTAATTTATGTTTTAAAAAAAAAATTATTGTAACAGTACACTATATGTAATAACCACTAATAATGAAACCTAGTTTATCAAAATTATAAAAGCTTAACTAATAAATATATAAATATAAATATAATATGAATATAAAAGTGTATTCACAGTACTAATATAAATCATATATATATACAATAAATCCTAAAGGCATACTATATAATCTAGTGTTGATGAAACACACATGTACAAGCTATATAAAGTATCACTGATACCAACAAAAATATAGTATCCAATCGTCAATCAAGCCCCCTCAAACTTAACCTTGATATGCTCTTATACATAACATGATCATAGTAGTCTAAATCATAATGAAAACAACAAGGATAAACTAGAGTTCAAAAACATGTAAACATAGAAAATAATTCTATATCATATAACATTATGTCAAAAACATATATGAAAGTTAAACACTTCAAAGCTAACATATATTTCATTCAAACCATATCAAACAAGATATCCAACAATGCATATGAACACACCACAACATACATTATATGTATACACTTCAAAAAATGTGTTATCATGCATTTATCTATGGAGATCTCCTAACAACATGAACAATCCAATTAAGTGACTCCACCCTACCAAATCAGCCTAATCATTTTCACACTCAGTGTCGACTCGATCATCGCAAAATAGGATAACAATCCCTCATTTGATTTCTTGGGTTTTGTCACTCACACTAGGAAAGTTCGGTTCAATTGTTATGAACAGTATAACTAGGTATAAACTTACCATGACCTTGACTTGCATAACCAAGTCATACATAGAATTCACCCATTGATTATCCTCATGCAACCTTTTAAGTACTTGGTTTAAGGGTTGTAATCCTTGATCACCTACCTTTCTCAATGACTAACTAAGGACTTAAAGAGGACCCAACACACCTCAAAGCTCACTCCAAAAGACACAACTACATATGAAGAGTTTTTCAACAGTGGTCTATTTGAGCACTACTTCAATGATTCCCCATATGGGATCTTCATATTTCAAAAACAGTTTCCTCTCCTCAAGTCCTAAAGTAGCCAATATGCCTTAATATCATACTGTATTCTCAGCATCCATACCTCACTATACATAATCTATATGCATTACATATAATCAATACACATAGAGATCAACAATATTATATATATATATATATAATAAATACAACAAAAGTTATAAAAAAGATGAGGATCACGTTCATATTTTTCATTGATATCTCATAGGTTAAAGGAATACATTATTTATAACCTAATAACATTAAGGATGATTGTACAAGTGTCATCATCCTATTATTTTAAAGGAGTAAAATAAATATTTAACTTCATCTAATATAATCATTCAATCACTTTAATTTGAAGGTATTTTTAGATCTTTCTAAACCCATTCAAACATTAGCCACAGGTTCACATTGAATCTTGTCCTCAAGGTTTAAAGGCAAATCTAGGCCATTAAAATTAGAGATAGAGAAATATTTTACTGTGAGTAATATAATTGTAATAGAATGTGGTATGTAAAATACATTTGGTGACAACTTAAGGCATAGGAGAGACACAGCTGTACTTGTAGCGAAATTGGTTATTGCTTTTGTTGCATGTGGAAAAGAAAAAGTTGTTGTGGCCCACTCTCCTAATTGGTTTTTTGACGCTCTGTTGGGGGCTGTTGCGTATGTTCTACAAGTTTCTTCTCCACTTCTGAAGGCGTAAACAAGGATTATGGAAATGCATTTGTGGGTGGAATTTGTAATTTGGATAAGAGGGTATAGGTGGTATGATGGAACATGGGATTTGGGTTTTCACAAAATATTTTTTTTTTATGTTAAAAAAGTCTTTTAAAATCTAAATTTAATAAATATTTTATATTATAATCTAATAAATTTTTAAAAAAATAGTGGATGAATCACTAACCATCTATAAAATTAAATAGATGGATTGGATCTAATCTATTATTTATTTTTATTATAATGGATGAATTTAATGAATTTACTTATGAATGAAAGAATGATGGATAAATAGATTGATTTGTTGTGAATCACATTGCTTCTTTTTATACTTTAGTGTTTGTACTTAATTTTGTGTTGCAATGTTTAACTTAAGTTGGAAGTCAAGGATTTTGATATATCATAGCAGATAGTCCAATTAACGGCTTCTAGCAACTTTGAAGAGGCCTTGTCATTGTGCAAGCTTCTTCCACCTGCTGAAGATTCAAGTCTCCGTGCTGCAAAGGAGGGGTCAATTCATATAAGGTTGTATGCTATTACGATATTCTTCCTTTTGAAAATACAAACTAGACATAATTGCCCCTGTTAAGTTGAAATCCTTTGATTTTAGGTTCATCTTAATTCTAAGCAATAAGTATTGTTTAGCTGGTGGTTATAGCCTGTATTTATTCCCCAACTCTAAACCTTAAAAATTTTCAACTCACCTTTCAGTGGGAAGTCAACTAGGTGAGTGTTATGTCATGTCTATATAGAGGTTTATTTTGTGTGTGGCATGCATGTGCATGTGTATATAATATATAAAAGGAGTGTATATAATATATAAAAGGAGTGTATCTACTGTGAGGATAGATTATGAAGCTGTGGGATGTATGATGTCCTTGTCATTTTGAAATTGTTGGTGACAGGGGCATGGTAATTTTTCCATTATATTTTCAAAAGGTTGTGTTGTGATGGCTAAATTTTTTGCTACCTTAAAACCTAACTGATATAGATGGTACTTAGGATTAAGAAAGCATTAGTGTCTGAAATATGAGATTCTATGAGATAGAAGTACTCACTCCACTGAAGTTGTTGATGTATTTATTGGGGGAATCATTAACATTAGGTTCTACCGTTCTAGCATTGATGGAGATTATATGAAGATACTATTATTTTGCATTATTCGGTAGTCTACATCAGATACACTTAGTCATTTTAGCATATGAACTTTTTTGTTCCCGTGGCACTGATATGCTAACAGCAAATGATGTAGAGGTTTTTCCTATATTAGTTAATTGACTTGATTCAGTTGTTTTCCTCTGCATCAACCATACAGAAAAATGTTGCCTGTATGTAGTCAACATTAATTAGAAAAATGTATTCAATCTCCATTGCTCGTGGATTTTAAGTTTGCTGGAGGACTCTAAATCATTGTTTATGATTCTTAATTTTTAATTTGGCGTGTTTCTGATGCAACCACTATGTGGGACAGACCCCATACTTGTTCTAGAGTTCTCAATGCTTGTTCTTGAAAGCTGTCCATCTCAAACTATAGATCTCTTTCTGTCTGGAAATATTCCAGCAGATATGGTGAGCTCATGTTTGGAGAAGCAAGCAAGCTAGGTACAAATTTTTATTGATTTATAATGGATTAAATAAAAAAGTTAAATTGATATTACAAAATAGTTTACAAAAATGTTCATAAAAATTAAGTTGTGCAATTGAATGCTTTTTTATTAAATATGAGTCCATATAATCGATTCAGCAAGTATAAAAAGTATTGGGAGACCCATATTTAATTACTTCTACTTCTCTCCTTTTCGATTGCACGAAATACTAAATCAAAACAATCTTCCCTCCTCTTCCATTGTCTTGCTTCCCCCTCCCTACTATTTCCTCTTAAATTGTCTTCACCAAAGGAAGTGTCAAAGGATTAATACCGAGGCCAATAGTAAAGCTTGTCTCAAGAAAAACAAGAGAATACGAAAATTACATGACTCACTAAGGATTGCAAGAAATTCTTTCAATTAAGATCAACTATGTTGGTAAATTATGATGTTTAAATGAGTGGTATGTTTTATGTTCATTTTTTTTAAACATTTTTACAATTTTCTTTTTCTCATATTATCTTTGTTGTATATTTTGAAATATTTTAAAAAATTAATTATTTCGTGAAATTATTTTAAATTTAAATTTAAAATAATTATTTTATTAATTACTGGTATTAAGTCCTAATTAATATCAGTTTTAATGAAATATAATAACTTGATCATTGTAATTTTAATGATCAAACATTTAAAAATTAATTGGTTTTAATTATCGTAATTAATTATAGTCATAATGGTTAGTGTTTATCTCCTATAAATATTGAGATTCAGTAAGAGTCAAATGTACGGAACACAAATCTATTTTCTATTCTCTCTTTTCTAGGTTAAAAACTTGCTAATTTTGTATCTCAGTCTAGTATTGGGAAGATCTTATTGTATTTTGGGGACTTGGGTGAGAGTCTGCGAATAAGTCCTTGTCCTTTAAGACAATGCATTACATGTCTCAAGAGTTCAAATTCATTTGTGTTCTCGACATCCATCTACAACAATCTAAAGGACTTATAGTTGTCTTTGGAAATTCTTGATGAATGTCAAAGTTGAGTACAAGGCTACAAAGGAGAATGTGACATGTGCATATTGTTGTGACTATCACATGTGAAGAACAAGATGTCAATTAGTCGTGAGCCTCTTGGAGAGCATGAGTTTCGTGTTCATATCAATAGTAGTAAGCATAGTTAATTTGTCAACCAATTTGCTAAGAATTTGCTCAAATTTTCTTGATCAACATATGTTAAATATTTTATGC